GGAGGGGGGTTGGGCGGGGCCGCAGGGGTCATGCAATGTTGCTGATGCTGCAGGATGACAAAAAAAGCTTTTTAGCTAAGAAAACACAGGAACTTACACCTCCCCCGAGACGGGAAACCAGGAATTTACCAAATCAATGGTAATTAAGTTGCAGCTCCATTAGGAGCCCGTAAAGTGCCATCGCTGAGTCTGTGTACGTGGGAGTATCTCAAGTATGATTGTAGATCGAGGAAACTCTCTTTGCTGTAGAAGACGGTGAGGGGGAATGTAGACACTGACGCGTTTTGTAATGTCGGCGAGGTATTTTAGCCCCGCCTCAGGCCTCACACCAGAAGCCCCGGAAGAACCAGCACCGCATTCAGGGTTCAGCCAATGAAAGGCGCCAGTGGTGGATGACAGTTTCACTTTAAATGACATGCGTTATATAGACGGAGGGGAAAACGTACTTACATTTAACGCTTTTGGTCAAACTCTTCGGAACGGAGCAATCAACGGCGGCTGAAAGATAAGAGATAAAAGTTTAATAGAGGAGAGGAGCGGGTCTATAAACCACCAATCGGGACGCAGATATATCTCCGGATCCTGCGTCCGCTGAACCTGCAGCCAGACTGATATGGATTTCTCAGAAACCATTCACTTTAATGGAGTGTCTGTAAAATATCGTCACAGAGAACCCGAAATCTGCAGACTCTTCCCAGGGCTAGGGAGTATGTATCCGGTCTATAAATGGCGGCTCTGGATGGACAGTTGGATAAATAGCTCTATATTTAGGATGTATCCGGTCTATAAATGGCGGCTCTGGATGGACAGTTGGATAAATGGCTCTATATTTAGGATGTATCTGGTCCCTTATTTTGGGAATTCATGGAATGGACTCTCTCGTGTGTCATTTTTGATAAAAAGACTACAAATCCCCTTTCCCTCTCTGTATTCGCAGCTTTGTCTCTCTGAACGCCGCCAGCCTGACACGAGTGGAACCGGAAAATCAGGACTGTGCCGTGTAATTGATACTCATCAGTGTAAGCCGACGTCTCCCCGAACAAGGCAGAATGACGATAATGATGATTGACGATAATGATGATTGCCGAGGAGTGTGCAGAGGCAGCGAGCGCTCCGCCTGTACACACACAGACTTTGTTTCATCGCAGCCACGCTGATGTGTTTACCGGAGCGTCAATCACAGGTACACAGCGCGTCATAGAAACCAGGCACGCGCCAAAATAAATACAACTACAGACACATACGGACGGTTATGTGAAGACCTGGGATAGGGGACACATCCTGCCTCCCACCCCCTCCCAGCATGCACTGCGTCTGTTTTTTCCAATCAGCTGTCATTTTATTTGGTTTATTCAATACAAATCTTCGATGACCCCCCCTG